CGTACCGACAACCATTATCGACAAACTTTCCGAGATTCATGTTTTCTCGGTAATTACCGACAACATACCGGCTTCTTGTTATTTCCGACCGTCAAACCCCGACATATTGGCATTTCTCGGAAAACTCTCGGAGATGAGGTCTTCCGACAATGTTCTGATAAAATTGAGTGTCGGTATGAGAGACTTTTTCTTGTAGTGATGTGATTCCAAATATCGCACACTCAGTAAGATGTTTAGTGGATATCCGAAATAAAATTTTAGATAAAAAGGAATAAGGTAATACCCAAAACTGATCTTTTAGCCTGATAGCAATTGGTATCTCCTGACTTTACCAATTGCTATCCTTTGAAGGCTATACCGTCGACGACTTTTTGTGTAGTCCTACTCCGGCAGTCTTCATGTACCTCACTGCAATGTCAAAGATCCTGACATCTTCAAAGATGGTTTTTAACTGCTCTCAAAACTCATTAACTGGATTCTTCAACGTCGTTTTTGACTTTTTGTGTTCTTTCGAACACAGGGCTTTAGGATTACAAGTGAAGATATTCTACGGGTTTCTTCTCTCTTTGACTACCTCTATCTTTTATTATGTTTTAGCTATGTTAACTTATGAGTCGAGTGGCGATTATCTTTCTGTCTGTAACCTAGTTAATCCATTGGACTGTTAATTTTAATATAAGATCTTGTTGTAAAAAAAAAAAAGCCTGATTTTCAAGCGTACAAAAAAAACTCAAAATCAAATGTAACATTTCTCAAAAAAAGAAAGAAAAGAAATAGCATGTGATGTAAACTAATATACCAAGTGTACTATAGTTTACCGAGCAGTCGTGGCAGAAAATATGAAAAAATTCTCATGACTTCATCGAGTTGATTAATACAACATTTTTCAGTAGTATGTTAAAGTTTAACAGTTAAACCGATAAGAACATTTCACAAAACTAGATTCTTCTGAGTAATTAAAATGTCACGTCAGATATTACAACTAAGGTATTTTGCAATTTTCTTTCGGACAAGGGTCTCAAGGTCACGGTTCGCATATTGTAAAATAATAATTGACATGTTTTATAATCTTGGGCTTAAAGGAATAACGGCCCAAAGGCCCATTATTCTTGGCAACTCCGAAAAAGGAAGCTGAGCTTGCTGAATAGATGTCACTAGAGCACTTCTAAGCACAAAATCTGATTCCAATTCATCAAAAATAAGAATTTCACATGTGCTGTAATCTGTCACAGGGCCTCCACAACTTAACTACAAATATGGGAGCAACATTCTATAAGTGCATATAGAATTAGAAAGCTTCCTTCAACATAAAACCATGTGTGGTGAGGGTTTATTCAGCTTCAGCTAATGAAAAAACCACATAGCATGTAGACAATGAACAAGAAACCAGCCAGCTGATGCGATTTGATAAAGATTTATAGCTAAATAAAAGCTAGAAGATTGATCTATAACCCAACAATAATTTGATAATGCTTTCAAAATCTTCTCGTAAGCAAAAGAAAAGGTCTTTAAGACAATAAAGAGTACTAAGCAAGAAACACAAACTGAATAAAGATCCGATTTCTCTCTGACAGCAACATTTTTAAAAAAGATGATTTTTATGTGAGAAACTCAGTTTCTCACTTCTTCCTGAAAGAGCATCCTTCCGTGAGCCTGGCTTTGCCACCAGTGGGCTGGCACAGAACCGTCTGACAGTTTCCACACACTACAACCGTTTGCGAGTGGCTAAACACTGTCGTTCTGTAAAATAATAATAACACCACAAATTAATTCACATCACTAGTAACTTCCTAAAACATAATCAAACACTGTAATAAAAAGTAACAAAACCTAACAGTTTTTTAATTACAAAACACTACACAGATTATTCCTAATTATAACAATCTATGTTCAAACATTTAAAGTAAATAATAAGAGAAACTCACATGTTAAAGCATCCCTGGCACTTAACGTCCTGGCACAACAAACATTAAAACAGAACATCAGACTTATTGTTGTCGCTGCTTTTAATTGTGTCCTATTAATTTCGAAGGGAGAAGAAAGAAAGTACCATGAAGAAGGAGTTAGGAGTCTGCACGAGACGCTTGAGCTTGTGCTTTCTCTTCTCCAGCTCAGCTGGAGGGTTGAGCAGATCGATGTCGTTTTGGAGAACCTGTGAGAGAGAGACACACACATCCAAAAATCAAAACTCAGAAAATCAAGAGGAAGAGAAAGAGAAAGAGAGTAAGAAGATGGAGAAACAAGGTAAGGAGATTTCACCATGGTTGTTTTGCTTGAGGAAATGAGACGAAGACGGCTTTGGTGAAAACCCTAGATGGAGGATGCGAGAGAAATAAACTCTAAAATGCGGCTACGCTGGAACGAACTATCTTTGAGGAGTTTATATATCTCTGTGTGTGATAAAAGATTGGGCCCGATGGGCCTAGGCCCATTTAAACATTGGCCGCATCCATCACTCTTTAATAATTTCTCTGCTTCGGATAGAAGTTAGCCGCTAGAGAAATATATAGTAAGTTCACCAATCATGTCTTCACTCTTGCTCCAACTCCAACAAAGACTAATGATTCAAAACTGGTCTACTATCAGTTTAGCATGAGTACATGACTCATGTGCCTAACCTCAAAGACATAATGGTAAAAACATATTTCCTTCGTTTCAATTTATATGTCGTTGTAAAGAAAAAAGTTTTGTTTCAAAGTAAATGTCGTTTTATAATTTTCGTACAAAATTTATTAACTTTCTATGTTATTCTATTAGTGTATTGGTTAAAATGTAGTTAGGTATATAGGTTATTGTGTTTTTGTCTAAAAAATATGTAAAATCAAATGTTTTTTTAATCCGTAGGTAAAATTCTAAAATGACAACTAAAATGAAACGGAGGGAGATTAGTGTATTGAATTACATGTTGAGTTCATTAACAACAAAGAACTGATTCATAAGTTGGATAAATTAGTAGACATGTGTGGCTTGCTTGTCAAGGCCTATACATTTAGCAGATACTTCATGAGAACAATTGTTCTATGATATGATAGATCCATGAGAACAAATTTGAGTCTCAAGGAACTAAGATCCTTGTTCCTGGAGTTTGGAGAAGAGACAGAACCTTAAAGCAAAAGGTTGTTGATGATTTAACCATAGAATCATTACTGAAAGTGGTTGAACAGCAAAGTTATGAAGCCACCTTCTTTTACTGTCCGTGTGATATGGCCGGAGACACAGCAGATTTGATGTGTTTGACCCTCCATGTTTATTGTATCCACAGAGAAAATGGTTCATACAAAATCTTGTTTTACAAAGTAATACTGAAAATGGTTCCATAATCAAATTTGCCATTTTCTATAGAATTAGTTCAAAAACAAAAACAAAACTCTTTCACTAATCCTAACGCAATATGATCTCATCATTCATGTCTGACTTCTTTATCGATTAAGAAATATAATCCAAGGTTTGCTAATGCCACAAAACAAAACAAAACTCTTTCACCTAGGAAGATCCAGAAGCAGCACGCTTCTCATAGTCGCCTTGTTCTTCTTTAGTGAACTCCTCAAGCAGTTCACGCTGTCTCTGCGTTATATTTCTGCCAAAGAACATGACAAAAACATAACAGATTACAATGTGTTGTTACATCAGAAGTTACACAGTTTTACTTGGGGACTTTAATGGGGACTTACGCAGGGATGCTGACGTTGAAATGCACGTATTGATCCCCAAATTTAGTTGACTTTCTTGCTCTAATACCTGTTTTGTATAGTATGTCATTTGATTAAGTGAGCAAACAGAGAAGATCACACTCACAGTTTCAAGTGTTCTATAACGGACACAAGCAAAAAAGAAGCTCACCTTTTTTTCTTAGCACTACCTTCTGACCAGGTTGCGTTCCAGGACGGACCTGCACCAAGAGAGTTTCCAAGTTTGATTGATAAGGCAGTTCCAAGAGCATCCTTAAACTAAACCAAATGGGAAAAGACAGCTGAGACTGTAATTAGGTAGCTGTTATAGTATATTCAGAGACCTTCACTACAACATCACCGGTGAGAGTTGGAACTTGAATAGTTCCTCCAAGAATGGCCTGAAAAGATGAAGAATAAACTTGGTTATCAGGAACAAAGATAAAGTTTGAAGCACCTATGAACTTTCAGAGACAAGATTGATAAGAGATGTTATTTCACCTGAGTAACACTGAGAACTGAATTCACATGAATATCTGAACCCTCTCTGCGGAACACAGGATCTTCACGAACCTGAAGAGGAACACAGCCGAGATATTGAGAATGCAAATAACATTATTAACTATGATTGTCCATTATTAGATAGCTGAGCTCAGTAAAGTCACCTTAAAAATAACATATAGATCTCCAGGTTGGTCACCATCAGGATCAGCCCCACCAGACCTTGACACCTTTAACGTGTCGCTATTGTCAACCCCTGAAAGATTTCACAAATGTGTTACCACTCAAGAGGTTAAAGGGCCTAAATGCCGCCTAACGACTACTTAAACATTGTTTTTTTTTGAATTTCCTATGGACAATATATGCAAAAAGAAATTACCTGGATCAACATTGACTTTCACTGACTTCTGTCCTCGAACAACTCTACCTCCTCTACAGGATTTGCAAATACTCTAGCAAAACCCCAAAACAAAGCAATCCAATCGTTAGAGAAACCTACTTAAAGGACCAAACATTTGGGATGAATTTAACAGAAAATGGTGTCTATCTTCAGGTACATGTAATATACACAGATAAACACTATGCATGTGATATATAAAGTAATGTATGACATACTGAGAAAGTTTGACCAGCTCCACCACACTTCTCGCATGTTCGTTGGATGCTTAATAAACCCCTTGTCATAGTTTTCTGAAAATAAGTAACTGTCTCACCTTAAAACCATTTTAAGAAAAAAAAAAAATCATAATTACAGTAGCCAAACTAGAGTTCTGTAACATGACACTGACCATCCCAGAGCCATCACAGGCTTTGCATCTTTCACGTTTGGTACCAGGAGGAACACCTTGTCCACCTAAATATCAAAGAAAGAACAAAAACAACAAACATTAACTTAAGATTGATAACAACATATAAAACACTTTGATAGTAAGAATATATATACATACCACAAGTATTACAAGACAACTCAGTTTGAAAAGTCACAGTTTTGGAGCATCCTTGAACAGCTTCCATGAAAGAAAGCTCAAGCAAAACCTTTCAACAGTACAGAAATCATTTGCATTTTGGAGCATAAGAGTTATCTTAGAGTAAACAAAGTAGATCTTATTACCTTGACGTCTTGACCTCCGAATTCTTGCTTGTTTCTGCTGAAGATCTAATAATTTTACAAGGAAATAACGTGTAAAACAATGGAGGTTGATAAGTTAACCATTTGCATTTTTAAGAAAAATATAAACTAAGGTATAAAAGCATTACATCGAAGATATCAAATGGGTTAAACCCTTCACCGAAACCTCCATCATTTGGATATCCACCACCACTAGCATTTTGCTCAAATGCTTCATGCCCAACCTGCAAACATTACAACAAACTTAGATCACATCTGCACAAACATTACAGCTTGTAATAACGAAATTCAAAATAAAAAATAAGAGGCCTATGTACCTGGTCATATAGGTCACGCTTCTCCTTATCTTTCAAAATCTGATCCCAAAAACAAAAAAAACAGTTCTCTTCAGTGACAGATGAAACTAAACAATTTGGTCCAAGATGTGGAGACAAACTTACTTCATATGCTTTTGAGACCTCCTGGAACTTCTTCTCAGCTTCTGGATCATCTTTATTCATATCAGGATGGAGTTTCTTAGCAAGCTGCACAAAACAATAGCATCAACCAATGAGAAACTAGCAGAGACCCATCAAATGAAAAAATCTCAACCATAAAGTCTCTCCTTCCTACCCCATAATAAGCCTTCTTGATTTCACCTTCTGGTGCATTCTTGCTCACTCCAAGAACTTCATAGTAATCCTTAGCCGACATAAACGAGGAACCTGGTTGTCCAAAGAACGTTAAGAGATTCAATTACAAAACAATCAAACAATAGTCAGCAACAAGGAATCTCAGAGGCTAACCTGTTCCATGAATAGACCTTGTTGAACCAAAATTAGAATTAAAACCTCCAAAATTAATCCATTTCCGACCATCCCCTTCATTACAAGAAACATATAATAATGTTAAACTTTCCGACAAAACTCAATTTGAACACACACACACACACACACACAAAGCAATTAAACAAAATTACACATTTACCAGATTTAGAAGCGTAATCTCCAAGAAACTTGGCAGGATTGCAAGTAGCAGTATTCAATCTCCTATAACTCCCAATAGCTACTCCCTTGAGTCTCTGGAGAATTAAGAATGTGAGAGATAGAAAGAGACCGAAAGAGAGAGCAAGAGAGTGAGAGAAGAGACTACTTGATTGGTAAGATCTTGTAGAAGCGTTGAGGAGAGACATCGACGAGTCAAAACGCGAAGAATCTTTGCGCCATTCGTAGGGATCATTCTTCTATAGGCGTTAAAGATTCGATTTTTATATATTTTGATCGAATTCAATGGAGATTTAGTGAGTGGGAATAATTAAGGGTTTTGGGGAGATTCAGACAGAACAGCCAACCTAAAACCCTAGCAAAAACCCTGTTTTGATGAGGTTTCAGAACTGTGTAGAAGACGCAGTTTCTGTTTGTTCGCTATACCCGACCCGGAATATTAAATATTAAATGGGCCGATAGGCCCATTAAAAAGCCCCATAGGCCCATTAAAAAGCCTTAGCACTCAATTAGCATGACAGTGTCTTCTTAATCAACTTGTGAAAAATTAATTCACAGAAAAAAAACTTGTAGGATTATATTCGAGTAAATTTAGTTTACTACACCAATAAATTACAACATAAAATATTCTTTTTGGTCAAAGCAAAACATGATAATGATTTTACATATTTGAATTATATATTAGTAACAAGGCGGTAAGTCTGGAGGTGGAGGCAGGATCTGCTGATTGAGTCCTCTTCCATTCTTGACTATGAAGACAACATTCATACCCCATGAGAGATGTCTATCAAAGTGACAGTGCATGAACCAAACCCCTACAATACACACAAATTACAAACACAATTGTAATATAATGAAGAAGCCTCTAAGATAACATTAATATCCAAGTTAACGTTGGTCAAACTTCAAAATTTTAAGAGGCAATATACATAAACATAAAAATTTAAATCGTTAAAACAATTTTTTATGTAATTTTTAACTAAGTTATCTATAATATTCCTCAAAATCTTGGTTATGGTTAATTATATGAATTTATGTAAGGCGCACGTACCAGGATTGTCAGCTACGAATCTGATAGCCACCCAACCATTTCTAGGCACAGTCACTGTATTTCTGTACGGAGGATCATTGAGATTATAGTTCAACGGATCTTGAGTTACATTAAAGTTACCAAACCCAACACCAACAACATAGAAGCTAAAGCCATGAAGATGCATGGGATGATCGATTCCACCACCAACTAAACTCGTCCCTTGAAGTACAATCTCAAGAGGTTCGCCGTACTTAATCACCTTCACTTCTGTAGCAAGTCTAGGAGTCTGCAAAAACAACGGTTGATCCTCCGCGGTAAAGTTGAAAACAAGCGGTGGAAACGCTGGAAACCGCGTTCCGTAAACGCCCTTGATGTGATAATAGTATGCTTTTAGTATGTCCACGTGACTAGGTGTGACGAACGATATGTTGTTCATACTCGCCGCTAGTCTCGACCCGTTTGGACCTTCGCAAGAGTCGTTAGGACACGTGAGAAGATTTATTGAGACCGTTGAGATGATTCTACGTGAGATCTTAACGGGAGCTTGTCCGGAGTATAAGCTTGTGATGTTGGTGAAGAATGCGAAAGCTGCTGACGTGTCATTGTAATAAGGAAGGTTTGGGTAACGTTTTGAAGACGCTGACGTTGAAGAGGTGTAACGTAAGATCCCTATAGTTGTGGAGTTGTTGAAGTTGATGACGGGGTTGCTATGGTAAGCTCTGGCGGCCATGTAGTAAGTGCGTTTTGGGTTTTGGTTGGCGTGTAATAACAAGTCTAGCGTTTGGCCTGGAGATATGGTGATGTAAGTAGCGTTTAGTGGTTTGGTGTAGTGGCCATCGGCGGAAACCACGGTGAGGCTGTGTTTTGCGATTGCGAAGAAGAGGATTAGGTTCATCGCCGCGTTTACCATCCGAATGCGATAGGATTTGCCTTTCTTTACTGTGAGCTCGTATGTATCTGTTTACCAGCATTCAGATATGCATGGATCAGAAACAGAAAATTTAATCAGATTTAACTTTGAAAATACGTATGCATGCAAATTGCATATTTCAAATATACAAACAATTAACATCAAAAAAAAAATACAGACACAACTGTTCTGTTGAATTAAGGTGTTGAATTGATATGTGCCTTTACTATGTTTTTTTATCAATCAGTCAGGGACTCAGAGTTTCTAACGAGTGACAACCAACATAATGAAATACAATTAATTATCTGATCAAATCCCAATTAACTAACCTATCTAACTAATTGTAACATTTTATTAGTATATTTTGAACTGTATTAAATTATAAACAAAAGTCAGTCTTTTGCCCTGCATGCAAACTTAACTAATGCCATATATTCTGTTTTCACATATAAAACTAAAGTAGATTTGATAATAAAAAAAAACAACTAAAGTAGATTTTCTTAACAAAATGGACATGCGAGTGTCTATAAAAAGTTTTATGTTTAAACTAAATAATAACAACTAATTAATTTAGGATTAATTACTTGAATTATATGCCTTTTTAATCAAATTTTGTATCACGTTTTAAGATAACATATTTTGGACAATCAAATTTTGTAATAAAATGTTTCTGATCAAACACTTTCATTAAGTTTCTATAAACAAAACAGAGGAGTTTTAAAAAACATTGTTGACTTACTAAAACAATTTTCTCATTTCAATCATTTTACTTATCTTCTCAATTTAATATATCACGGTATTCTTTCAACAAATTGTATTTCATAATCGTGCTCTTGACCCTTACATGTCTTTCATCTCCATATAAAGTTTTTATCCCACGATTGTAATTAAAACCAAAAAAAAATATGAAAGTACTCATTAAGGAGAAAGGCAAAAGGTTAAAAATAAGAAACCTGATTTAGAGCAAGGATACAAGAAACCAGGATGTCCATTAATTGTCAAAGCATCGGACACATTAGGGTCACCTCGTGTCCTCCTGAATAGTTCCACTACTTCTGTCACATTCCTCTTCCACCACTCCCCTAAGCAATTTTATAAATTTAATTTTAAGACAATCAAACGCAAAAGAATATATATGTTTTCTTTTGTACCAAGAATTAAGGGGACTTCGTGGTCCGATTTTGGGAAAGGGAGGGATTTAGGGAGCCGAGGATACACAAAAATAAGACCATGCACAGTGGCACGAGTCCAAGAGCTATGAGCATGCCACCAAACAGTCGTGTCTTCGATGGAAAATATGACTTCATACAGAAAATCCGAACCAGGTCGAATCGGGCATTGTGTGATGTATTCTGGTCCATCTGACCATGGGTTTCTTGGCTGCTCTACACCATGCCTATATAATGTTTAATCAACCACCAAAAAATCGTTATAGGAAAAAAGGATTGTTGACAATTTAAAAGAAGAAGAAGGGGTTATAGATTTACCAATGCATGGTAATATTTTCACTAGCTCGGTTACGAACGTTTACGTAAATGGTGTCTCCTTTGTAAACCTTTAAAGTTTCTCCAGGAAATTTACCATTAACGGTCAAGATCTTCTTCGTGCTACACAGTTTCTTATACGGAACTTCCTTAACCTGCCATTAATTTATGAGGTTAATTACTTTTTCATCGATTCAATCCAAGTTAGATTACTCACGTGCTGTTGAACTGATCGGGTAATTTTAGTAACTCACCGTGAATGTGTAGCGATGTGCAGTGCAACTATTGTAGAGGAAAAGAGACATTAGCAAGAAAATGAAAAAGGGACGTGACATTTTGGAAGGGCTTTAGCAAATTACTTATTAAAAAAATGTTAAGCAGAGAAGATAAAGGCATGTGTGTGTGTGTTTATATACGCATCTTTCTACGTCTTTCTCAAGAACTACGGGTTTACAAGTTATGTTTCCCCTGTTCATACACAAATCCTGTCTTTGTAATGTAAACTTTGAAATAAAATATTATATTCTAGTGCATATGAAAATACTTATTAAGTACTTTAGTTAATTGTTTCATAAAGATTGATTAAGGCAAAAGACATTGTATTCTGAAACAATTTGCTAAATAATTTTGTGAATATTGGGTCCACAGTGACAATAAATGTAATCTCTCTTTTGTCCAATTTTGACTTATGCATTGGATCACACTGTCAACAAATATGTAACTACATCGTTTGGTCAAATGAAACGTACACTTAATTAAAACAGCTTAGATTTGTTAAGAGTGGAATATTTTTACATGATATAGTATATAGAAGAAGAAAAAATTGAATTTTCATTAATTTAGGTAGTAGTTTAAATTTATTACTATATGTATTCCAAATGTTTGAAAACTTTGGGATATTTTAAATTATATCACATAACCCATTTTCATACCGTACGTTTGGATATATTGAATTACCCAAACATATAATTATTTTAACATATATATAGGTATGTAACTTGTATAAATCTGAACAGAAAACTCAAAAGTGATAGTGTTTCCTCTTTAACATTCCATTGTAATTATATGTCAACATAGATAGTCGAAACTGTTACACAATTATAGAAATATTTCCTTGGATATTCATATTGCTAACATATCTAAACTACAAAATCGAATATTATCTGATATCTGACAAGAACATGTTCGGAAATGGACAAGTTTGATTTCTAGTTAAACAACATCGCTTATGAGTTTCATTAGGTGAAGTTTTCCTTCTTTAATAAATACATCCAAAACCAAAAGTATTCCGAAACTCGTGACCTTTTGTGTGATTTAGCTTTTTAATTACGTAATTTGACGTTTGCTTACTTAATCTTTTTAACTTTTGTAAGCGTGTTTGATCTACCTTGTATTCTTGTGACATTGTACTCGACGAAATGAGTTATTATCCAAGTTGATGTCCGTGAGCTACCATTCCACCTAAGCGAAAGAGATGTTTATTACCTTATACATAAAGAATGTTTTAAAGTTTTCTTTGTGAATATCTGTCCAAGTTAATGTATTTATGTACAACACTGAAACTTTTAAATCGTGACTGGTGAAATGTCGATTTATAATCCCTTACAGACTTGCATACGCTAACTTTTGGAAAAAAAAAACTTTTTTTTTCTGTACTTCCAAAATATATATCATTTTGAAATTTGTCAAAGCTCTTCCACTTCATTCCGAGTCATTTTTCGATTAGAATCCTTAGTTTTATTACAAGTAGTTTTAGTTTTCATGCTGATCTTCTAGCTCGGATTGTGTAGAACTTAATATATTTCTCTCATGTGCCAATTTGGACGACTCCAAGTAGTTTCAGCGTTTGATTGTCTCATTCAGACTATGGGTCCGAATGTCCGATTGTTGTTATGGCTTTAACGGCTGTTAGAGCTTTAATTTAATTCTAAAGTTTTCAAAGTTAAAATATATACAATCAGACTTTTAACTCAAGTCCTAAAAGCTCCCTTTAAATTTGTAACTGATTTCACCTTTTACAGTTGTTTGTTTTTCTAAACGTCACATTTCATGACTTTTAATATTTCTAAAGCCAGTTTAATTATTTAAAAATTAAAAGATTGGTAGATTTGCTACAATAACCTTAAAATATAGAAAATAACCAAAATAACTTATACAGTTTTTTGTAAGATTTTCAGAAAACACTTTTACTATTTTACCCTTAAATACATAAATTATTTTCTTGATTCTACCAAATAAAATTAAAAGGATAATTGATTTTCTTAATTAAATTACTCAAATTCGAAATTAATAATATGGAAATAATATTAATGATAAATATAACATTAAAAACAACATTGATTACTTTTACATAAAAGGAAAACATATCTGTCAAAAAGGGAAAAAAACTTTTTTAAAAAAAAATATCACCATTGTTACACATTCATCTTCCTAAAACTCTTTTAAAACAATTTCTTTCATCAAAACAGAAGTTTACGTAAGATTAATATTACTATACCAGTTCTAGAATTTATTATATCATTCTTAGGTAACACTATTATAGTTTTTGTTGTAATACTGCTAATTTATTGTATTATTCATAGGTTTACCTGAAACGTTGAACCAATAGATGTTCATGGTAGATTAAACATCGGTAGATTTATATTTTATCTACAACCACTCACTGTGAATATCCAACCTGCTAGACATATTTTTTCTGCAACCACTTGTTGGACTTGCATAGTGTCTACACGATTTTATAGACATGAAATTCGAAACCTGTAGATTAGTTTGTTATCTTCTCATAATAGATAAATTAGTGTAAGGTCTACACATGTATAGTAGACTTTATATGTGCATTTGGTAGACTTGTATAATAGCTATGTTGTGTCTACATGATGTTACATACATGAAATTCGAAACCTATAGATTAGTTTGATGTATACTCATAATATGTAGATTAGTTCAAAGTGTAAGACTTAATATGTGCATTTGCCAGACTTGTGTAATGGCTACGTTGTGTCTACATGATGTTATAGACATATAATTCAAAACATGAAGATTAGTTTGTTGTCTGCTCGTAATAGGTAGATTAACATAAAGTCTACACATGTATAGCAGAATTTACATGTGTATTTGGTAGACTTGCATAATGTCTACGTTGTGTCTACATGATTTTGTAGACATAAAATTCGAGACTTGTAGATTAGTTTGTTCCCTACTCATAATAGATAGATTAACATTAAGTCTACACATGTATAACGGACTTTACATATGCATTTGGTAGACTTGCATAATAACTACTTATTTCTATAGATATGATATTCATAATCCGTAGATTAGCTCGTTCTCTGCCGATGATCAACATACTAGAGTACTGCCTGCCTGATTTATATGTTGTCTAATCAGTGGATTAACATTAAGTCCACACGTGTATAGTAGACTTTTCATGTATATTTTGTAGACTTGTATTTTTTCCTTAAAATTTTAGTAGACTTGCATAAAGTCTACATACTTGGTTGACTTACTTGATGTCCACATGATTTTGGTAGACTATACATCGACTGACAGATTTATATTATGTCTACATCTTATTCGTAAACTAGCTGAAATTCCATAGAACTTTATTTTGTAGGTAAGTAGTTGAGGAAATAAGAAGCAATCTAGATGTAACTTGTGAATATGAAGAAAAAAGTGGTACTCTTGATGGAGGTAGCGATGATACAGAAAAAAGTGGTACCCTTGATGGGTCTGGTGAAGACGAGGCACAAATTGGTACACCATGTGTAAATGGTGAAGATGAGATTCAAAGTGGTACTTGTGAAGAAACTTCTGAAGATGAAAAAAGTTATGGTTCTGCAGATGGTAGTTTTGGATCTGATTCAGATATATCTTTCGATGGAGAAATTGAAAATCAAATGGTTGGTGGCTTAGAAGGTACACAAAATATTTTGCAGATTCTGGAGCGTATCAGTGTGGGGCAAATATGTAGTACCAAGGCAGAGTTACAAAATAAGTTGCTTATGATCACAATTTTTCAGAATTTTGATGATACAACGTACAAGTCCACAAAAACTCTACTTGTATTGAAATGCTTTGTTGCTGGTTGTTCTTGGAAGATTCGTGCATCAGTGATTAAAGCATCTTCTAAGTTTAAAGTGCGAAAGTACATTGACATACATACATTTCCAGTTACAGATAGGTGTTCTCGTCATCGACAAGCTACATCAGAATGTACTGGAGAGTTGTATTTGAGAAAATTTGGGAAAATTGGTCTTGGGATAAGACCGATTCACATTATGGATGTCATGAAGGCTATGTATGGTATTGATATTGATTAGTGGAAGTCATTTAAAGCCTTCGTACATGCACATGAGCTAGAAAGAGGCACATGGGAGAGTGGGTATGAGGATTTGCCTTTCTTTTTGCAAAAGATCAAGGCGGCTAATCCTGGTACGATTACAAAACTTGAATGCGACAAGGAAGACCGATTTAAGTACTTATTCATTGCATTTGGTGCATGTATTACTGGGTTCCAATTTATAAGAAACGTGATAGTTGTGGATGGAGCTCATTTGAAAGGAAAATTCAAAGGAGTTATGCTTGTCGGTGCCTCACAAGATGGAAATGGTGGGATTTTTCCTCTAGCTTTTGGGATTGTCGATTCAGAAAATTATGATTCATGGGAATGGTTCCTAACTCAGATGTGTTTGGTTTATGGGGAACGAGAAGACTTGGCAATAATTTCTGATAGACACAAATCCATTAGAAAGTCTGTTAGAAAGGTATTCCCACAAGCTCATCTAGGAATATGCAACTATCATCTGCATCATAATCTTCTTAAAAAGTACAAAGACTCGAGTACACTAAATTTGGTTAAAAAGGCTGCAAAAGTGGACAGGGTTTCTGAGTTAATAGTGTTATTTGATGAGATACGAAGATAAAATCTTGATATTGCCACATATTTGGAGAAGGCTGATGTTCGTTGGGAAATTGGGCTCTTTAGCCATAGAAAAAAAGTTAATTGGGCCAGTAGCAAAAAACCCTAACAGAAAGGTTCACCCCGTTACTTTTCTATATTATTACAATATTCTCCCCCAAAACAACCGTTTTCACCGGCTCAAATTGTTAAAAAAAAAAATTTCTTAAATTATTCAATTGATTACACCCCCTAAATCGTGTCTTAACCCTCTCCACCAATTGTTTCAAGATTCCCACTTCCTTCTCTGCAAATGAACCGTCTCCGACATCGACAACCCGACCTCTTCATCTCTAGAAAGCTTTCGTTTTCTTCTCTCCAAAATCTGTGTCTCCGTCGGTCTCCTCA